GAGTACATACAGATGTGGGGGAAAAAAGAAGAGCTCTGTCTTTAATTAAAAAATCATTATTTGGAAAAAGGTGATCTAATCTTTTTTCCAGAAGCATTAGAGAACACCCAAATAAATACCTAAAGGAATTATCAAATTCTTGTATAATTTTTTTTTTATGGCGAAATAAAGATATTTCACTTCCTATAATGACATCTTCTGGAACCTTCTGTTGGAACTAACATTTGAGTCCTACAGACATCCAGTTCCCTGATTGCTTCTGTAGTATGCAAGTCTAATCTGACCAGCCATTGATACTGCTGATACATACAGAAAGGAGATGGACTTTCTTTAAATTATTTCAACAACTTTGTTTTGCTGCAAAACTAATAATATGATTTGACTGGCTGCTGTATGAATTTTCTTATTCATCTGAACTTACGGAGTTATTGATTTAAATTTAATTATAACATTAATTTGATGCTTACATTGTTTAAATATAATTAGCTCAATGAAAGTTTAGCAAATTTGCCTAATAAAAGGCTTAGTGAAGACACATCTTTTCCTTCTCTTTTTATATGAAGCTGTCTATTCTGACAACCTATCATGGTGTCAAAATCCTAACGTCAGAAAAAAACCTCAGGAAAACTGTAAATGACACACTTTCACTTAACAGCTATTATTTAGTCTTGTTACATCTGTAAAAGAAAAGAAAAATCAGTTCCATCACTAATTTTCTATTCTTAATCAAAACAGATGTGAAAACTGATTAAACATTTACAAAATAGAAATTCTGATATTTCTTTTATGATAATTTTCTTTTCTTTCACACTGAATCCTTAATAGGTTCCTTTTTCATTTAAAATTTGTGAGGAAATAGGAATGGAGGTCTGTTTTCTTGCTATAATATTATCAATGCTTTCACTATTAGTCTTGTGAAGATATGAAACAATCCAAGAACTCCACAATGAACCGAATTGGCAAAAAAACAGTTTAAAGACAGAAATTGTTTTTTTGTTTACAAATAATGTTTTTGTTTTTTATCATTAAGGTCAGTGAATGGGAACCACAAAATCAGAAGTTAATTGCGTAAACTGACATGCATCAGATTTACTTTATATTCTATTTAGTGATTCAAGACAATGAGAACTTCATTTAAAAAAAAACCCGCAAACCTGTATCCCAGCTGAACAAAATACTAAAGGCAGTAATTTCCAAGAGGGCTCAGAGCCAAACACGTACATAAGACAGACATGAAAATGTTTATATAAAAGCATAAAAGATCTTCACTTGACTTGCATGACTTTTTGTATCAAGCATGCTACAGCAGTCTTTTGATTCTAATATGAAACTACAGTAAGGATCATTGCACTAATGCGTGAGGATTTGTGATAATGTTGCAGAAATTTTACTGTCAAAACTGAACTGCAGCGTAATGACTTTTGTTATCATGGTTTCTAATAACTATTCAGAATGAATTGACCCTACATATGTTTTACTGCAATAATATGTCACTTATCCAGAAAGTAAAAAAAAGGAAACGAGATCAATAGACTCCTTTCTCCCACAACCTCTGTATAATATGGCCTCTTGAACAGAACCTGAATATGAGTGAATTTTTACTTAAATTTTAAACTAATAATAATTTTCAGGGAGATTATTTTTAAATGCAAATTACAGGAACAAAAACAATTCTTAAAGTTTTGTTAAATGGATTCAAGTCAATAGTTTGTTAGCATATAATGATATATCCCTGTATTTTGGAACCAGCCCTAATTTCAAGAGAACAAACACTGATGCCTACAATACAATCATTAATTTATTAGCAAAATACAGTGGAAGTAAAAGATTTCATTCTTGGGATAGAAATTCTAAGATTGCCCAGTATAAAAAGAAGGATATGGTAAATAACTAGTTTTGGTCATCATGCGTAGAAGTATTTCTGGCACTAGTATGCAAACCTGTTAACATTTCCAGAAGAAATTCAAAGAAGAACATTTGAAACTTCAAATCTTCCAAGTGAACGTTGATATTCCTAGCTAGCTCTTTGATTTCAGAAGCCCAGCAAAAACATAAAATCTCATAGAATTTGCTAGAATTGAATAATTTGTAATATTATAATGGGGTGAAGAAAAGAAAACAAAGGCAGAAGTGTACTATACACGTGCAAAAACAAGCATATAACCAGTGCTACATAGTAACTTAATTAATCACAAGAATTGAAGAAAGCAGAAATTGCAGCAAAGTTGAAACTCGTCTGTGTGTTTTCCCAAGGCTATTATCTCTTATAGCGTGATAGGTAGGAATCTAGAAAACGACAGTGGGATATGAAAACCTTGTCTCATCCACTGCATCTGTATAGCAGTATTAAAATGATAATCCTTTCCTCCTCCAATATAATTCCTTGCATTCACTATGCAGAAGAGAGTATTATACTTTTCATGGGCATAGCTCCTCGATTCAGTGATGTGTATCCTGTTCATAAGTGCACCTTCCTCAGTACATAGAAGCTTGCAAGATCATGATAAAACACTTCATGTTACCAAAGACATTATTTCATCTATCAAGACAGGGCCTTTTCTGGGGCTGAACAAAGCAGCTGCTTAGGATCCCAAAATAAACCTACTTCATTTGTCAGAGCAGTTTCTATATCCATTTAAAATGTGCCAAACAATTTAATATGAGTAGACTGCTTTTAGCATCGGTATTCACAAAAACCAGCTTCTCGTTTTGAGTAATAATATATATAGGATACTACGAGAAGAAAGTCTTCAGGATTTAGGAATGGATGAACGTGCTTCTTGAAGTCTGCACATTGTAATGCAGGTATGTAGTGCAACACCTAGAAAAATCATTACTGTGATACTCTCTCAGAATTGATTTTCCGCTGCAGTTGTAATTCACTTAAAAAAAAAAAACTAAGAAGAAAAAACACCTTTTTATAGGCGCTGTATGTAGTCAACACCTTCTTTCCTTTTGTCACAACTGCTAAATACTGTGATAGTGACAGACGTGTTTTGCCTTAATTGTTGGACTAGTTAGTCCCTTAACATAGTGAAGAGTTATCAGAAAGGAAATTAGAGTAGTTGTCACTGTAATTCACAAATTAATATTCTCAATAGTTTCTCATTTTCGTATATATATTGCTACGAAATGGTACTGAGGACTGTCAGCCTAAATATTCCCATCACTAATTTCTACCATAAACTAGGTGCACATGTTGTAATGCTGCTTATAAGCTTCTATAGAATAGTAACATACCCATAACCATTTTCTTCATAAACAAGATTTTAAAAAGCCAAACAAATGATTATGTGGCAGAGCTGATGAAGCTAGATCCTGTTGGTACTGCAATGCAATTTTGCTATATTTTACTATGTTTATTTTATTGTATTCAAATTGAGAAGGAAAAAAGCAATAATATATGCCAACTCATTTGCAATTTTGTTTGCTTCCATATTACCTCACTGAGATGTATGATAATATCACCCACACTATGTCCAGAAGAGGTAAACTGCTGAGTGGGAAATCTGTTTCACAAATATTACCAAGAACAATTACATCCAGAAGGCATTCTCATATCCAAAGAAATTAAAGGTCCAGATTACCTAACAGAGATATATTTTTCTTTAGAAAGCATTATAGTGAGTATTCCCTAATTTCGTATTCAGAAAAAATACTTTCAATTCCTTCTATAACCCACTCATGCTAAGAAACATCTCGGTGCTCATAGCTTTGACTTTAGATCATATTTAGGGAGCATAATTAGCACTCACTTGGTGAGGAGAAATAGAAGAGAGTTTCTTCAATTATTTATGTTTTGATCTTCAACTTGTTCTCCAAATACTCTTATCTCTGGGAATGTATGACTTAAACATATTTTTGTTCTTGAAATATAGAAAGGTGCATAGTTAACAAGAATACCTTGGAAGGAACAAATTCAAATTCAGAGTACACTGAATTTCAGAGTTAGAGATTTACTGAGGTGTTCTGTGGGAAATGAATAAGGCTGAAAATACAGGTGTAGGACATAAGAGAGACTAAGGGGACTAAGCGAGATTAATAGAAGCAAAGTACTACTAATAATTCGAACTTCACATTTCATTTATTTATTTGAAAACTTCTTCACTGCACCTTCAGAAAATGAACTGAAATATTAACGTTGACAGGATCTGATTTCCTGGATACATGACCAAAGTTAATAAACATTCTTACCTGAAACTGTTGACATTAACCTACAATTTTTGTACATGATTACTTACATGTGTACTAATTTTCAGAAATACAGACATGAAAGACAACCAAGCAATAGCAATAATCTGGTTAATATACCTAGATAATATTTTTGATTTAATTATAGTTAATGCTGATATAGTCAATACTCAGATCCTGAGAATTATCTATAGATGCAAAGCAAAGAAAAAAAGAAAAAACCTTACATTTTTGAAAATGGTTTTACAACACCTCGATTTATGTTCCACAACACTGTTAAATTTAAACAAAAAGAAACCCTATTCAAATGTAACTAATTATGCAAGAGAACATACCTCAGCAGTATACCTCCATCATGGAAGTCATCAAATTAGATTTTAAGTTTTTTTTCATTTTCATATAAATGTTTCCTACATTAAACATTTGCAATGTCTGATTATAACTGTTGTAAAGCTCACAATTCCCCTGAAAGACTATTTGATAGAAATGCATAATGTTAAGGTACTGGATACTATGCTGGGTAATACAGTTTTGTACAAAAGTAAATGCAGTCCAGGTTAAAAAAAATCAAATAGAACTATGACAATGAATAATTAATACCTTATATGAATACCTCTGCAAAGTAAAAACAAACAAACAAAAAAACCAAGCAAGCAAGCAAAGAAGTGAAAATACAAAAAATGCTCAAGAAGAAAAAACACTGCACATGGTAGGTGATATATTGCTAGCATATATTCCATTGGGATTATTGATCAAATGAATTTTAAATAGGAAATATATTAATTAAATGAGTGATGTTAGCACTTTACCTGCTGATGATCTCTAAATGAATTTTCCACCTTGATTCTACTGTCATAGAGTTCTGTGAGATCTTCTTTACAATTTAAGTAGCATTTCTGAGACATTTGATATTCCTGAGATAACAACAGATTTTCTCTAATAACTTGCTCCAGATTGGCCTAAAGAGAAAAGTAATTGATTACACTCACTACAAGAGTTCTAAGAAATAAAATTATAGTTCACTTCTACAGTTTCTTTGACTCACTCCCTCATGAACACCTCTAAAATATAGATGACCAGATCATGGTTTCAGCGAAACCAATGAGAAATCTACAAATGATTTCACAGTGTTTAGAATTTTGCTAAAATACTTATACTGAAATTAATACTATTAATAATGATTTCCTGAGAAAACCATTATTTTCTCAGGAAAATAAACCAAAATAAAGTTTTTAAAGTTTTAAATAATTACAATAGAAACTACTAAAAAAACCCACTCTTCTACCTTACTACATAAGTCCTCTTTCTGTATAAAAATTATTTTGTCTTAATTGCCAAAAGATCCACTACATTTTTTTCACATTTTACTGTTTAAATCTCTTTTTCCATGTTATACAAAAAAGGAGAGAATGCAATAATCACCTATGTTTTTTTTAATAAATAATTTTAAAGTTTCCCAATCATAATTTGATTAACTTGATTTTAAAGTCTAATTTAATTATCAGCCATCATGGTTCGCTACCAGGTGAAATGTTTGGTAAGTGCGCTTCCATAATCAGACGAATTTCCATTGTTTTTCAAACTGATCTCAACTGAATTTCCTGTAATTATAATTCATGACTTTGCAACAGTCATAGAATTTTCTAAGGTATTTTATCTAAGTTACACAGACAATCTGATTTAATTTGAAATTGACTTATGTCAAGGAATTCTGCTTTCATTTTTATTTTTTCCTAAAAACATGCATTTTATGAGAGGGAAGCCCAACTAGACTTATCTGTAGTTCGATGAATGAAAATTTTTTCTATCTTCATAAGTACAAAACAGGATGCCTGATCTCCACTTTTCAAAATATTTTTTGAGAGATGCTTTAGATGTATATGCCTAAAATATATTTTTAAAATAGGATAGCTAGTGATGATGATACCACCTATAAGAGAGAAGCACAAGAAAGATCAGTGGGCAAGCTTAACGCTTATTAAATTTATGTAAGCTGTTGCCTGTTGTATTTGGGAGGTACTTCCGTTAAATTCAGATGCACATAATAAAGTGGAGGAGTACAGGACAGCTTACAATTATGTACAATTCTGGGCCATCTAATTAAACCAGTATGTCCACATGAAGAATGGTTGCCATAATCTAAAGCAATATTTCAAAGTCTTATAATGTAGAAGTTTAGTCTAAAAGTTTCTCAAGTTAGAAAAGTATGTTTACGAGTTCAGTTTATATGACTGGATGATTTGTAATGCTATGTGCTATGGAAACCCTTGCTGAAAAGCAGAGCTATCAGAAGAGGTAGAAGAGTTGGACCAATGCCACCATAAGGTGCTCCCTGAATGGAGTCTCTCTGTCCAGCAGGAGAGATGGCAGCCCTCTTGACCCCTTTCTGACTTGACAATCAGAAACCATCGAGTAATGGCATTGCCAAAATCCAAAGAAAGAGTTCGTAAACCATTGTAGTTGCATTTCTGGTAGAAGAATACTACTCTGGTAGTATTCAGCTGTTACTCTTATCACTTCCCTGACACTCTTCCCTCTGATGTGGGAAATCAAAAAGATAAAGGTGAGGCAAAAATATTTTGAACATAAAGAGGTTCAGATTTATTTTCTCAGATCACTGGTTGAAGGTTCAAGTCATTATTTATACATGAATACCAGACTCTATTGCAGCTAGTCAAGCTCTATTTGGAAGGGCAACACAAGTGCACATTTATGTCATGAGCTGGGACCATTCTAAAACTCACCAATATTTTAGATACAAATCACCGTATGTTATAGATACAATCTTGCCCAGAACCCAAGAAGACTAAGGACTTTCAATAAAATTCAAACCTTGCTTTAATGTCTTCCCTGTTTTTTTGTTTTTTTTTGTTTGTTTTTAATCTATTGAATTGCTGGACTAATGAAGTCTCAGTTCTTCTGGGTTCACAGTGCATAATGCTGAAGAAGTCTCAAGTTTTTTGAGTCTACTCCCCAGAGAGTAATTCAGAGTCTCACTTTTTAAAGACAAAGCTATCCAAGAGAAACAGCCGCGTGCCTGAACTGACTCACAGCCATCCTGTAGGGCTGCTTTGAATCTGGGAGTTCCTAAGATAGTTAGCCTGTTGACAATTTTTTTTTTTTAATATGCAATGTCTAAATCAATATATAGATAGAAAAGTAAATATATTTATACACATTTTCAGAAAACTTCTGCTAGAAAATTGCCATGGTTATGCATTCAAATCTGTACAGAACTATCACACTAGTCATTAAATTCTAAAATACTATGCCATCTTCCAGAAATCTCAAAATAATTAATGAAAACATGTAGAATTTAGTGAAGAATCACAGAATCACTAAGGTTGGAAAAGACCTATAAGATCATCCAGTCCAACCATCCACCCATCACCAATGGTTCTCGCTAAACCATATCCCTCAACACAACATCCAAACGTTCCTTGAACACCTCCAGGGAAGGGGACTCCACCACCTCCCCGGGCAGCCCATTCCAGTGCCTGACCACCCTTTCAGAGAAGTAGTATTTCCTAATATCCAGCCTGAATCTTCCCTGGCGAAGCTTGAAACCATTCCCTCTAGTCCTATCACCAGTTATACGGGAGAAGAGGCCGACCCCCAGCTCGCTACAACCTCCCTTCAGGTAGTTATAGAGAGCAATAAGGTCTCCCTTGCGCCTCCTCTTCTCCAGACTGAACAATCCCACTCCCTCAGCCGCTCCTCATAAGGCCTGTGCTCCAGACCCCTCACCAGCTTTGTTGCCCTTCTTTGAACACACTCCAGGGCCTCAATGTCTTTCTTGCAGTGAGGGGCGAGGGTGTAAGAGGGTGTAACTATCTCTTTTATTACTCTTTGGGTAGAGGTAAAGCTTTTTTTCAAGCTGATACTTTCATGAACAAATATACAATGACCGATATTAATATATTGACATTGATTACATAAAACAAGTACTGTTTTCAACATTGACAGCATCTTTGCATACGTAAGGAATATTGGGAAGTCACAGAAAAACTTGTTTCTGGAATTTTAACATCAATACATTTATTTGCCTCAATATATATACACCTGAGTCAAACCTAGTAAAGTCCTACTGTTTTTGTTGGTTTTTTTTTTTTTTTTTTAACTTAAAATGATTCAAACATTTAGACATGAAAAAGACATACTTATGAGCACTTCATCTTTATGAGAGAGGAATGGTCGAAGTGCAACCAAATTTGGTATGCCAAAAAATAGACCAACCTTTTTTCCTATTCTAGCAAAAAAGGGATAAGAATCTCAAAATTGACAATGTAGTAAGAAAGATGTGTAAGTAGGTAATCATTGCATTTGATACGACTCTGCCAGTTGAGCTTCTGAATCTGAAGATTTGCTAACTGGTAACAACCCCTAGAATTCTTCTCTTTGTTCTCTTCCTCTTCATCAAAATTTGAAACCATATACTACTTATGATATGCTAGTCTTCACCAACAGGTACATTTGAGCTCTTCGGGCATTCCGGAACTGATGTATGAAATATGGAAAAAATATTTTCTATATTTCTCCATTAAATGAAGTTACTTCCTTCAGTGAGAAAAAGAAATATAACTCAGGAATTTCCTGAAGGCTCTTACATGAAATAAAGCTTGAGTCTCAAAAATAGATAAATCCAGATGAAACCTGAAAATATCATAATAGAAAAAAAAATGAAAGAAGGTTTCTTTGCATTTTCCTGTAGTAAGGTGTGTGGAGTCTTGTGAATACCAAAAATATAAATATTAAAAAGGGACACAAAATATCCACTATGGATTATTAAATAAGAAAATTGGAAAAAAAGCAACTGAATATCTTAAGGCTGGGGAAATATTCAGAATAGATTACAGCATTCTTGCCCTCTTGCTATAGACAACCTGGGCAAGTTGTATCAGAGGTGGAATACTGGGTTAGATAAGACGCCTACCTGACCCAACACATACACTTTTCTCCTCAGTATGTCCTCTTACTCAACATAACAACTTGGTTTCTATCTTTCTGGAACAACAGGAAGCTAGAACACTTTTTTGTGTGCGCTGAACACAGTGGAAGTATTTCCTGTCTGCCATAACACAAACCCACACTAAGGCAATAGAATACATGAAAGAAAGAAGTAGGAGAGACAAATGTTTCCCCAGACTTTAAAAAAAATAATTGTTAGAATAATAGAAGTTCAGCTGGACAATAAGGAAGGAAATGCAATACCATGCAACATGAATTATCAGTCCAGTATCTCAGGAGATATGGAATTTACTGTAACAAAAAACTCCAAATGAAGATCAGTACTAGCCTAGTCCAACTGAGAGGGGAAAAAAAAAAGTGACAATGAATAATAGAATAATAGAAGACAACTAAGGGAAACTGCAACTTGGTGTCTGCAGCACAGAGAAGATGCATTTCATGTTAGTCTTCAATTCTTTTATATACATCAGTATCAATCACTTTGTGTTGCAAGTGATCCAAGAATTATTTTATTGCTCAATTTTTGTGGCAAAAGTTTGTAAAGAATTGTGGAGAGAAATCTTAGGATCAATGAATTTGTCCACATAATTATATACCAATAAACATGATATAAATCCCTATAGTTAACAAAGTCAATCATCAATTTGAATGTTCACTTCAACAGTGAACATTCACAGCAGTGCTTTATTGAAAGATAAGAATAATTGATTTTGACAACCAGATGCATCAGCACAATTAACCAATTATTAAGGTATCTATATTTGTTGGTTATACTACCTAAATTTGATATTTTGAAGATTTCCCCAAGCAGGAATGACTATTTATTTTGTACACAGGAAGTATCCTTTTTGGACAACCACCCAGAATGTGAATTGCAAAAAGAAATTACTTAAAATCAGTTGTTCATGTGCATCCATCCCCTTAAATCCAAAGTAGAGTAGAGTTAGTTGTGTTTTTCAGTAGCATCTTTTACCTATGTATGTCCTTTTCT